ACAGTAATGCCTGAAATCACATTAGTTATTTTAGCTATACTTAAAACTAGGTACATTAAACTTTAACATTTTTTACAGATTATTTCTATCGCAAATACAAATAAAGTTATAAATTTTTAAAAGTGCACACTAATTTTATGGACACACTTTATATGTGTGGGTGTACGATTTTCATTAAAAACGACTGAAAATGTACTGTGGTCTGTTTTTATTTTCCGCTAAAATAATAATATCTAAATAGTGGACATATATTTCCGGTTTAGTTTCTGGGTATTAATTTACATAACGCGTATTTTAATTAGACGCCCCATTTTTATTCATTAATCAGTGTGTATTACGTATATCGGCCTATCTATTCGAGAAATCTTATTAAAGAAAATGCGATCCCGGCATGGGATCGACCCTGTGTCCCCCATTTTTAGAGGAAAGCACATTAGAAGAAACAGTGTTTTTCCACTAAAAATGGAGCAGCAGGTTCGATCCATACTAAGATTTCTTAAATATGCAATACAATGGACGAAATAACGTCATGGTAGATGATAGTATTTGAACAAGTATCGAAAGACATTCGCTAGATGAAGACAAAATTTCCACTTGCCTAAGTTCACTACACAAGTAACATTATCAAATGTGGAACGTATTTCAGCTCCACTCTGTAGTAATTTAACATTTTATTATTTCTCTCCACCGGTTTCCAACTGAATTTGTAGGTATTTTAATCGATTAAGCTTATGTTAATACGACAGCTTGAATTATTGTAACAATATATAATTGCTTACATTAATTTTCACAATGAATATATTGGTTTTAATGTATATTTCTAAAAAGAGAGCATCCTATTTCGATTTCATCGCAGCATGCTGAATTTAAACACGGATCAGGCCGTGAAATATTGAAATTTTCATGCTGTATTGCTTCTCTCAGATCATTCATGTTATTCTTAAATTACTATTTCCTGCATCCTTTTACCTCTTTCCGTGGTTAATGTTTCTCCACTATTTCTAAATCCTTCATTCGCCGAGGCAACAAAACAGCGCATACAAATACATATTTATATGTACTGTAAAACATAAAAAAAATTCCTATCAACCTACACATTATACAAAAATAATTGTTCACAACACCAATATACGACACCATGAAAGTAAATAAAAATTCCAAATTCTCGAACCTCGCTATATAAAAATCGACCAACACTCAACAAAATGTATTACGAATATAGCAACAACATCATAAAGTGCATATACATGTATATACTAATGCCTTTTTTACCTTTTTATCAGTTAACGCTTGCTTTTTAAGAATTCCATGACTACAATGGTTTAAATTTAAAGATTATAAAATAACTATAACAGAACGCGTTTACGCGCGTTTTATCAATCACTATCGCAACACAACGCAAATTTTCAAACATTTTTGTTGCTTTCAGTTTATCGCAGATACAATAGCATTGTAATAAGCGGAGTAGATAATGGCTGCTCCAGTTACTGCTACACAGTAACTGCTTATTTAAGGCGTTGCATACTGAGAAAGACAATATTTGGAAAATCAAAAATTGGCGCTTGTCTGAACAGTAAAATCGGCAAAAAACAAACCTCAGCTGATATGTTTAGAGACAGAATGCAAAAATTATGGAAACGGATTTGTTGTTAAAAGTAAATGGAGGAATAATGTACATTGATATTGGAAAATATCAGACCGTGGGTATTTAATACATCTCACTGATCAAGAAAAAAACATACAAATGTCAACAAACAGAATGGATCCAGAATGCACAGCTAACAAAGCCATGGAATTTTACTTTGAAAAGGCTGACTTCAAAAATTTCAGAGATCATCCAAGACCCACCATAGTCAAAGCGCTGGACCGAGACATTCAAAGAACATGGCAGAAATAGTCCACTTTTCCTTTGCAGAAGTTTACAGTCAAGGAAGATCTACAACGAATCCCCAAACTCGCAGAGGACAGAGAATGTTGGCAAAATAATGACTTCAAATCGAAACAATTTTGAAGATGATGATGATAATAACAATAGTCTGTTTGATTTTGTAATTTGCCACTGAAGAGGATCTTAGAAAAGGTCGAAAGTAATTGCTTTAAAAAATAAACTAAGGTGCCTTCCTTGATGGATTTCATCTCAATATCAAGAAACTAATTAGACACCTTGAAAGGATCAATGCAAAAATAAGTCGACACAATAGGTCCATACTATTCAACAAAACGCGTTTAAATGAAAATATGCTGCCTAAATATAGTAGTGAAGCCTTGTACAGAAGCAACCAAATGTTTGAGAAGAACTGGTGCATATAGTGTGCCATAATGTCCCCCAAACCACTTTCTCTTAAACCAGTTGCCATCCAAAGCTATAGGCCCCAGTCAGTCCTGCTATTTATACATAGAGGGAAGAAAATATGTATTTTTCCTTTCCCAGTGGTATTTGTACGCAAGTGTATGTAACGAACTCGACTGGAATTCGAACTCGGCTCGTCCAATCTTCATTAATCCATCGTACATCCATATATATATATATATATATATATATATACAAACATAAATATACACATACACACACACACACACATACATAGATAGATAGATAGATAGATAGATAGATAGATAGATAGATAGATAGAATTCTATTAACGACTCTATTTTATAAACTAATTCACATTGATCCTACAGCAAAAACAAGCCAATAATCGCCCACGTACGATTTTACACGAATAAAACGCTTCATTTTACTCACGATCTCGCTCCGAAAATGAAAAAAAAAAAAAAAAGATATCATAAATGTCTTTGCCCGCACTAGCAGAATGAAAATCACAAAGATTGTAACGATGCCTTTTCGGAATTCTGCTGAAGATAATGCAATCAGAGCATTCTCAAGCCCGCTGGCTTCTACAATCAGATCGAAAATGGCGTCGAGCGTAGTTCTTGCTCGCACAAAAAGCATTAACAGCTAAAAACTCGCCAAGGTAAAGATGATGGCAGATGGGCAACGTTGGCTTAATAAAAAGGAAAATGCATAAAAGCCTTGGAAACCAGAGATATTGTCAGATAATTACAGTTCATTAAGACAAGAGTATATCTTTAGTGTTGGATTATCTTGCTGATATGAGCCATCCGACTACACTGCTATTCTTCCGATTAAGTGAAAGAAGGAAATGGGCCCTTAAATCCTCACTGCCTTCAGGAAGCGTAACAGGCCGATCAATAACCTAAATACAGACACTTGAATGTGTATTTTTGTGCAAGTATTTGGGCGTGTCTTTCTCTCCAGCATAGCACTCTTTGAAAGGGTTTACAGCAATATAGAGATGGGATACTCTATTCTTCAACGACTTGCCTTTTAAGTAACTTTCAAATGCTTTTAAAAAAAATAATTGCCTCGGACTTCGCCAGAATGTTTGTGTCGGTTTTACTGTTAAATAGAAAGGATACCCGAACACCAGATACGAAACAACGCAATAATTTTTACACATGATAATATACAAAAATTGGTTGATTAATATCAAACGTGAGTTTTACACCACAATCTAAGTGCAAGTCGTATATCTTGAACATTTTAATCTACTTTAGCAAGGAGTAAAGCTCTCATTAAACTTGGTCTTTTGCATTAAATACATATTAAGATCGCGTCGGAATGTCCCAATTTAATGCTAGTACTACTTCTTAGGTTTTTTTTTTTTAATCGGTATCTGCTCATGCAACCCTACTAAGACACAAGGGGTTACAGGGTGTGGAAGAATAGGGAACAGAAACATTAGTAATAGAGGGTAAGAGAAAATAGTAATCAGGAAAGAGAATAGATAGAGATTAACATAGCATTTAAATTTTTAAAGATTAAACATGGCTGGAAAGTATGTAGCCTTAAGCGAGAAATACAAGAAATGAAACTGTTAGCATAGAACTTACGGCTACAGCTAGCCAGCATAATCATAAATTGATGCGATTTTGACGTCAGTCTAGCACTTCGCTTAAATTCTAAATGTCTAGGTACTATAGCGAAGAACTCATCCCAACAATTACCATGCCTTATTTTTTATCGAAAAGACACAGAGCCGTAAACTTAAACAAGTGGAAAATGACTGAACCAGGCCGCGTGATTGGCACCAATAATATTGCAGATTACTCTTTGGATCTTAACAAGAAGCTCAAGGTAAATAGCAGGAGCACCAGGCCATATGTGGCAGCAATATTCTAAGCATGGAAGAATGGTAAACTTATAGATATGTAAGATAGATTCTGGAGAGAAAAATTGTCTCGTACGAGACAGTGAGCCAACTTTCTTAGCATCTAACTTAACAATGGTTCCAGTATAGTCTTCCACTTACGTCAGTTGAGTACGCGAGTTGGAGAAGGCGCCATGAGTCACTTGCCTGGATTTTAACAAAACATGCCCGTTTGTGTATGTGTATGTATGTATGTATGTATGTATGTATGTGTGTGTGTGTGTGTGTGTAAGAATAACATATTTCCATTTAAATTTAACCATTCTTGTTAATTCTCATGAAGTATAATGCTAAACTTTGTTTAACGTATTCTTCCCCCTTTTTAAAAGTAAAAAGATCAACATTCTTTTTAAATTTACAACTAATGAATAAACATACTTTTCATATCATTAACTGTAGAGAGATGCATAATAACTAAATATAGATAGAAAACAGCAACAAAATTTCATTTAATAGAAATAAATCCTATTTATCGGTTTTAGTCGGTGAAAAAAGTATACGTACAATGCAAATTTCAGATTTTCAAACTTTTAAACTGCTTTAATACTTTAGATTATTCAAGTGGAATATTCTAGAATGTTCCAATAATGTTATAAGATCGTTATTTTTAACCTAAAAATCCAGACAGGAAAGTATGTTTATTCCTTAGTTGGAAATACAATAAATTGGATATTTGTATGTGTACGAATATTTGTTTTCCCCTACACTATACCCTACATATCTTTCTAATCTGCACTCTTCTTACGTTTTTTTTAAGCATTCAACCACAAGCAAGGCGGGAAGCCACTAGCACGCAAGGGGTTTCAGAATTGGAGCGATAACAAAGAGGAGTGATAGAGAAAATGATGAAGAGAAGGTTAAGGAATAGATCGAGGCATCTTGAGAAGTCGATTGACGTTACATTTGAATAGTTGGAGATTATAGCTATCAGGGAAACAGGAAAAGGGGAGGGCGTTCCACAGGTGAGAAGTGTGAGACATGAAGCTATTGGAGTAGAAAAGACGACTACATTTAACAGTTTCTACAGTGAAAGGGTGAGTGTAATATGCCAGCCTAGGTGAGCGCTTAAATTCATGAAGTCTGGGAACCAGCGAAAGCAGCTCATCGGAGCAGTTACCGTGAAAGTACTTGTAAGACGTACAGAGGGAGGCAACCGCACGTCTGTGAGAGAGCGGCTGCAGACGAAATGCCAGATCAGGGCCAATTACATTGCATATCCGTCTTTGGAATTTATCAAGGCTCTTGAGATAATTAGAAGCGGCTCCAGACCATATATGGCAGAAATACTCCATGCAAGGGCGAATGGTTGATTTGTACATTTGAAGGATCGACTCCGACGCGAAAAATCTTCTGGCGCGGCACAGGGAGCCAACCTTCTTAGCGGTAGACGAAGCTATGGACTCAATGTATTCGTTCCATCTCAGGTCAGCGGACAATGTGAAGCCGAGCAGTGGCAAAGAGGTGCTCTCGTGGAGTTGTGCGTCAGACATTCTAATGGGAGGCAGTGATGGTTCTTTCTGGTGAGTAATAGAGAGCAGTTTTATTTTTGAGACATTAAAGTTAACCAGCCAGTTCCTGCCACAGTCCACAAACGATTGGATGTCCTTGTCAAGACAAACGGCCAGGTTAGTTTTGTCGGCGACACTAGATTTTTGAGGCAGGAGTAAATAGTAGTGTCGTGCGCCTACTTGGGAACCTATGACATCAGGGAGATCGATAATGAAGATAAGGTGCAGAGTATGGACTAAGATAGAGCCTTGGGGGACATCTGCTTTCGTGGGATAGGAGCTGGAGAGTTGAGAACGATCTTCAATGTACGGTTCGACAGGGATGATTGCATTAAGTCGAACAATCGACCTGTAATTCCATAACCCTGAAGCTTGCGAAGAAGGCCGGCATGCCAAACCCTATCAAATTCTTTGGAGATATCAAGAGCCACGGCACGAGCTTCTCCGCTCATACAACTTTATTTAGTTACCCTCTACCTTGATATAGTATAACAATTCTAATGTCACCTTGCTACTATCATGTGTTTTCAAGAAAGTATTAATCTAAAAAGTATGTTGAATTTTTACCTTTAAAATAAAGTCTGTGTACAGTTAATAACTTGGAACGATTTTAATGTGAATTATGTTTAAACGTCTAATGATTATTTGTTTTTTTTCTTTCAGATTTGGCGGACATTTGGGCGATATTATTTTTCACACATAAATGCCATAACGTAAGTAACATGATCAAATAGAGAAATAAATATTTTTTCAACAATAATACTGATTTATTTACTGCTGACTTGTTAAAACACCCTAATATATAATCTGTCTTAATGAAACACCCTTTATGTGTATTCATTACTTGGAAAAACAATAAATTAAAAATTTATTTATGCAAATATTTTCCTCCACCCCCACGAGTATATGCCTCATTTGTGAAGGATTTCCCACGAAATTTCCAGTTAACTGAACAGGTCGCAATCTGTTGCGCAAGGCCTGGGGAATAACGTGGATGACACATTGTCTCCCAGCCAAGTCGCCGTCTGGTATGTCTCGGCACATACGGCACATGAGGTCTGGCATTGTTATAGAGGAACAGTACACTCTTGAGATTAACCGAGGCTGGCTCCTTGTACTTCAGTGCCTGTTGCACACTTTCCAACTGCAGCGTGTATAGGTACGGATTATCGGTTTGGCACAGAACACGTCGGTCTTATGGTGTGAGGCACAGGTTCTAGAGATAACTATGTCTAGGCTGACTGTGAATGTCATTCCAGACCCACATTTCGTCACGGAAAAGAACCCAAAAAAATATGATTAGGTTGCTGAAAAACAGAGGCTTTCACACGTTGTTGCTTTTTGTCTTCCGACAATGTGTGGGGCATCCATTTGATCAACTTCCATATGCCTTGCAGGTGAAGTCTGTCTGTTTCATCAGAACGCTACAAGGATCCGTCAAGATCACCCCTTATCTGGCTATTGTCTTTCTCTATGGCCGCGTTCATGGCCTCATCATCCGGTACCATTGGCTGACCACTGCGGTGTCTATCACAAATGGACAGATCTCCCAACCTGAAGTTCTAGAATCAAAGCTTAGCAGTACGTTCACTCATAAATCTCAACATATACGGTGGCTTGATGCGGCAACGAAGAAGCCCATCTCACAGTCATAAATTAAACAACCTGGAAGAAGCTGCTTCGAAACCGCCATGCTTGTTTGCCGCTGCTCGAATTGTATCTGATGTGAGTGCGCATCGCACCTGCATTGGTAAGCAGCAATGCCCACCTCACCCCAATCAGTTTTTACGTCAGAACACAAGCAATTAAGAGGTGTTTCTACGATCCTCAAAACCTCACGATCAGAGGCCTTGCTGGCGGATGTAGTTTCTGGTCATGCCCAGGATTATTCCGGCGTGTCACCTACTCATTTCCGTACAAGTGATTACTTCTTCCC